ACTCTAGAATAGACCAAAGTAGACCAAAAGATGGAGCTTCCAAAAGCTATATAAGGACCTCCAATTCACTCCCAAAATACAAGCAACTTTGAGAGTAAGACTCTTGTCTGTGTGTGCCCAGGTAGAAAGTGAAATCAGGCCCTTTCTTCAGTGTAAGATAGTAAAGCTTGGCAAATAGGTGCTAGCTTATATCTTAGGTTTGTTTCTATTATTCAAGGTGTTGTAGGTAGACAATCAGGTCTATATTTTGGGGCAACATCCCCTGTATTAGTGCTTACCCTTATATCACCTATCTTTTGTCTAGGTGTTAGTAATTTAGTGCTGTCTCTTAAATATTCCTTCTGCGCTAGCAGTCTTATCCAAGTGAGACAGCTATTCTTTATGTGATCACATGTTTTTCTTTATTCCCTGCCTACACAACTTATTCTAGTGGTTTTCCTCTCTTCAATGAACGCCCATGGTAGAAGTTGATCTTATGTTTGATCTATTTAACTTAAATAAAGTATGGTTGTCTTTAAATGGCTAGCTCTACGCTTATTCAAGTGCGTCTCACCTACTGTCTTTTACTGCTCTTTTACATCACAATACTACTGAGTACCTGCAGTGTGGTCTACATCACTTTAGCCTAAAAAAGACCAAGAGAATCACAACTTCGCTGATCGCACTAGGTATACACTATAACCATTACATTACAATTTCTGAATGTAATGAAAAATTGTTCTAAATAGACTGGCACTTTGAGAGCTTTGCAGCACTGTCACAAAACTTGGTCCAATGCGTGGAAGTCTTATTTGTATTGACACTACACTAGTCCATCAAACTTTGGTTAGAGTTCATTTCAAACTTTGAAGTAAAACTTGCTTGGTTTTTACAGCCTTTCACACTTTGAGTATCAACTTGAAATTTGGTATCTAGATACTTCTAGCATACATCTAGCTACATGTAACCACTAGAAGGTGAAAAACCTAAATGTGCATGTGTAGCAACAGTGCCTTTCATGTGTGCTGGCCAGGCCTGAGTGCAAAAGTGCCATCTCAAATGTGGGCACATTTTAGTAGTTTTTATATGAGCAAATAGAGCTGAAAGAGAGGATTTAGAATATTTATGTATGTATGGAATATTAAATGTTTGAAGAAGAGAACTGAGAAGAAAGTAGGCAAATATACGCAAATAAGCGCTGGTTAAGCGCTCAAGTGCCGTCTGCCTTTCTCTCTGCTCCTACCCTTTCTAATCTGGTAAATGTGGTTCTCATGTATCCTCACATAGTTTCCAACATGTTAAGAAGTCTCTGTAAATATTTTGGTCAATTTACAGTAGATATGTGGTGCATAGTGATGAGAATAACCTTGTGCAGGGCAGCAGACATGCTTGTGCCCATTTTGGTGCAATGAATGCTGGCAATTGGAACTGTTTAACATATGCACCTATGTCTTCACATACTGCGGATTATATCCGCATTTTATCAGAATTACTGGAAATTTATTGGAGGGGAGGTGGACTTGTGAATCTGGCAGGCCTCAGAAGCCTCCCAGATGCTTAGTCATAGCAGTTCACATACTGTAGCAGAGTGAACAGTACAAACCGTAACGCATAACGCACCCCCTCACCGGTTTGTAATTTTGGTCTTCTTGTCACGCTTCATGGCTTTTCAAAGGTCTGAAGAGAGCATAAGCCAGTTTTTATAGGCAGTATAGCTATTTCTCTGGCCTTTTCATTGCTTTTAAGCCTTCAGCAAGGACTGTAGTTGCAGATAGGATTGTCAGAAGCACCTGATTAGCCAATATTTTCCCCCACAAACTAATATGTCACATATAACCCCAGGCCAGTTTGTAGCATGGAGGGCAAGTTAACTGTCACGCCTCTCTGGCCGGTTTGTACCGTTCACTCCACTACAGTAGTCCCGGCTGCAGATCTGGCAGATCTGCAGCCGGGACTATGTGAACCACCATTAGTAACGGGCGCTTAAATGCCGAAGGGGCGCGGTCTTTGTTTGAGCTTGTTTTAAAGCCTTCGAAGGCTGTTGTAACTGTTTTTGACCAGTTTCAGAGAGAGTTAAAGTTCAATACATTGACTGCACACCTGTTAATGCTGTATATAGTAAATACACACAAAGATTTGCCTGGATGAGGGCCTCTTTTGGGTGGATGGCATGGTACAGGTTTGGATATACTTCTTGACAGTGAAAATGGTGTCAGAATCACAGAGCTGTCTTTTTTCCGATGAATTTCAGATAAACCTGCTAAATTTCGGATAAACCTGCTAAAATGCGGATATAATTCATGACATGCGAGAGCACTATTGGATGTGTCCGGATGTTCCCAGTGCCAGCGCTTATGACGCTTAAACAAGTGCAAACATCCTTGCTGGTGTTTGCAAGGTTAGCCAAGCTACTGCACACTGTATACAAATTGTAAATTCATAGAAATATTCACAGACACTCCTCATTATATTGGTAACTATGTAGAGATACAATTAATAGCTTATTAACTACCTCTAATAGTACAATCCACACTTCTTTGCTGTAATTGCAGAGACAAGTATTTTTGACTTGGTTCCTTCTGTCTTCTACATTTCATGGTTTCCATACATTCCAGTCTATATGTATATGCCCATATATAGCTTTGATATATGTTTCACAGTAGATTAGGCTGCTATAGACCATAACCTTCTGTTATTTCTGCTGTATTCTGGTTTTTTGTATTTATAAAGTAGCAGAAAGCCTTTCAAGAGCTACTACAGCTTTTAGGGCATCATGCACATATAATACACAGTATTAGAAGCATATTCAAAGGTTTAAAGGGTCTATAACATGTAGAAATGTTCTGCATTATAGTAGGCTTTTGCTTCAGCCTTTGACCTTCTCTGATCTTTTGCTCTTCTAAGTGGTTTATTACACCTGTACACAGTCTCATACAATAAATAAGAGAGAGAAAGAGGTCTCAGCCTAAAACCTTTTGTGCTATTAAAATACTACACCACATTGTAGCCAATATTGTAAAGGCAGTAAATTAGTTGTGAGATTAGAAGCTTAAACAGTAGGCAAAGATTCTGAGCAAAGTCTTATTAGTTTTTGTCATGAATTAACCTCTATTTCCATCTATTTTCGCTTATTTTCACTCTCTTACCTCTGTCTCTACTTTTTTTTCTTCTATTTTTACCTCTTTCTCCCATCAAAACTCTCCAGCTTCTATATCAATGCAGTCAGTATTAGACTCAGTCCAAACTCAGCCCATATATAAGCTGGAGCTTTATCAGACTCATGTCAGGCTTTGTCAAGCTTTGGCTTAGCTTTTATGTAGAACTTTGAAGTAGATCAGAGTGTTTCTAGGTAATATGGTATGGTACCTACCCTGTGAAGTATATAGGGCTGCAAACCTTCTGAAATAAGATCTCCAGTTTTGAGCTGGTCTTTATCCTGACTATCACTTTTGGCTGTCTTGCCCCTCAGAAGTTCAGCTCCTCCCACTCCTAATCTTTTGTTAGTGATGTGCAGGCTCAGCTTGAGCTTGTGGCAACATTGAACCAAGCTCAAGCTTGCTTACAATGCATTGAGTGTTCCAGTGCTATCAAAAGAGAGTATATTTAAGTGTAGTAGATTATTACTGCATGTACTTGCCAAATTATAACCTCTA